TTTCATTTTAATTTTATTCACGACTGCCATAATGGATTTAGTTTAAAGGGGTCATATGATGCTGCTAAAAAGAACTTTAGGGATCTTATCTATTCAAGAACAGCTTGTAATACTCCAAAGAGAAAGGAAAACTTGAAATTGCATCATACGACCCCTTTAACTGCAGCAGCATTTTTGTCCACATGAGTTGCCATGGTTTGTACAAGTGGAAACCGATAGTGCGGATATTATGTAATTGATAGGCGACAATGAACCGGGACGAGCCATTAATTAAAATTGGAATTTCTCTGGATTTACAAATCCTTGGAAGCTTTTGGGATAACGTAAGTGCACAACTGCATGAAATATATAACAATGTGCAAGTGGTTTTTGGATATTTTATTACGAAAATATTACATATTGTGCCTTTGAGAGTGTCCAAAAGGTACATCTGGAAAAAGGGGGGTCGTCTTATAATCAGGGTCGTCTTATATTCGGGCCAATACGGTACATAAAATACAATAAAAAAGTTTTTTTTTTTTTAAATCCATCTATCTATCTATTCAGAACTTATTTTACTGTTATTCATTGTTTTTCATTTTGATTTTGTTCAAATGTATTGATGGCTTGTCAGTTAACTGGCCAGTAACTTTCATTCATTTATCAAACCATTTTTACTCTTGTTTCTGTCTTGCTTTTTGTTCATTTCCAACCCCAGACATACACTTCTGGGTTATTTTTTAACCCAAGTACTGGGTTCAGTCTGTTTGGCTCAATTTGCTGGGTTATTTTTATTTTTTAAGCAGGTGCAAGGGTAACATGATGGACAAAGGCAAATGAACATGGCCAGCACGTGTACAAAGACACATTTTATTCTTAAACAGATTTACTAGTTCTCTCTCACACACGTACACAGACAAACAGCCTAAATAAAGTTTATTTATTATTTTATAGACAGGAACTTTGCATTTATCAAAATATGAAGTAAATCTTACTATTTACTGAAGTAAATAAGTAGATATATATTTTTTGTTCAAGATTTCCCATTTACTTAGTTTTATGAATATATATTAACTCCCTATGATTATGTAAACATTGCTAATTTCTTTTTGATTAATATAACCACATAAACTATATTCATTTTGTCAATACCAGGGGTTCTCAACTCAACTTTCCCGCAGAGTTTAGCTCTAACCCTAATCAAACACACCTGATCTAGCTCATCAAGGGCTTCAGGATTACAAGAGAGTTACAGGCGGTGAGTTTGATCAAGGTTGGTGCTAAACTCTGCAGGAACATGGACCTCGAGCACCGGAGTTGAGATCCTCTGGTCTATACCGTTATCACAAATCACACAACTAAAATACAATTAAACAGTTTATTTTTCCAACATTAATAAAATTGAATCAGTCACATTCACATGACCTACTAAAGTCGACACAAGTTTTTAAAGGTGCATCAACAAAAGTCTTCATCAGCAAAACATGCAGACCTCCACTCGTAATATTTGGTCTATTGACAATATAAAAAAATAAAGTATGATTGAATGCTACTTCTAGTGTCTGCTGTTCTGTAATACAATTCAATCTCCATTACTGACATGAACTGCATTTGCTGCACCACACAATTTCGACCCCAGGAGGTATATGAAAAGGTATATGTATATGAAATATAGAGGGAAAAAAACTTGGCAAACAGAACAAGATGAGGTTTTAACCTGACAGAGCTAGGTAGTATTTATATAACCAAAACTGCATCTTCCTTCCCACACCTCAAGTGTCCACTGTATTGGCTCGTCGTGAGAGTTAGGTCACCCTGTAAATGAACACAATTTGTGATATTAAAATAGTAATCTAAAACATTTAACCACAATTTTATATTATGCAGTGAAGAATAAGTAAAAATAACAACAATAATGTTATATCGTGCAAATCTATGCATATTTACATATACTTGCCTGAATATGAGAATTAGAACAATCACTCCTTCTATATGGTCCTCAATTTACACTCTGGCTTATTCTGCAGTGAATCCAAAGCCTTCCTGTTGATAGAATCATGTGTTCATAAGACTTTGCTTTTTAACCAACAAATTACAGATTGTTTGAGCAAAAGAAAAGATTTAAATGACAAGACTGAACTCGCATGAGAGGCTTTACCTTTAAATGTTCAATTAAGTTGATTACCATCATAAAGAAGCATAAAAACACTTTTACTAACCACTTTCTATTCACACTTTTCAAAATTATTCCTATAAAACATAATTGCTGGTTGCAACAGGTGCTTTAGGGTTAGCATAGCAACGAAACACGACAATTTATGAGATTACTACAATGTTATTGCTCTAAACTCACGCTATTACATCAGTCGAGTGTTTGAAATAACAGAAATTAACCTCATGCTATACTATTTTGATTGTTTTATTTTAGTAACGTTAACTAGCTAGCAGTTACAATGTTAGGTAATTTCCAGTAATTTCCAATTGTGCTCTCAAGTTTTTACACAAAAAACAGTGCTTTGTGAATCTCTAAACTATTGAAAACATTTTTGCTGAAATATCACTTACTGTGACCGCACACAGTTCATTAATTACATGAATTAAATGTGTACATTTTACTTAGAAAATTGTTGTTCTCCTTGAATTTTAATATTACAAGTAGAAATTATGATTGTTAATTTAATATATTTTACAACACCACTAAGTTATTTGTTTTCAGTGCCGTATTTTTTCAGTATTTTTTTTCAGTGGATCTTTAGGGATCCATTACAGCAAATGTTGCTGTAGCTGGTTTATAACAATAAGATCTATTCCCAAATCCCCACCTCCAAACCACCCCTGCTGCCTTTCTGAAACCTCAGCGGTGCTTGTGCATTCGACTTTCTGAAGTTTATGCATACTGTATCTTCATTCTACGGGTTGCCATGTCTCATAACCCTGTCATTAGTAGTGAGGCAGTGGGCTGTTTTACAAGAAAATAAACTTCAGACTCTCACATATACTCTGACAACTTGCCTTGGGACTCCAGTTTGCCTTTCTCTATCTCTTTTTTTCTATCTCTCTGTGACCTGAGATTGAGTTTTCCAAAAATAGAGAGACTGTAATGTAAGGTGACCAGATTTTGAAATTTAAACTAAGATTTCAAGTTCATTGGTTAATATATAATTGAAATGTTCATTGTTATTATTTAAGAAAAAAAATAAGGCAATTCCAGTTTTGTGTAATTTGACCTTGGTAAATGTAGTATTTTGATGAAAAATAGTACAATGTAAACTGTTTATTGTCAAATTAACAGTAACTTACTGGCAACAATTATCCAGTAGTTGCTGTATTTCGTACCACAGCAAAGTTGCTGTAAAATTAAGTACAGTAGTTTAAGCATACATTGTTCATCTTTTACATTTACATTACATTTCACTTTTATAAACAAGTTTTTTTCAATATAATTACTTGGTAACACTTTACAATAAGGTTCATTAGTTAACATTAGTTTACTACTTTAGCAATCCGTATCCTGTCTCATGTAATCGCTCAATCTGTGTTTCAGCGCACAAAGACGCCAATATATAACGGCTTTGTAAACCATATGTCACCTACGTAACGTCACATTTACCTCAGAAAAAAACATATTTGGTGACCATAAAAAAAGTTAATTAAGTGTAATTTTAGCAGTTGTATATTAGCCTACGAATCAGTACATTTTAACCTTCAGTATTATAGTAATGTAGTACCAACTGACTCTCATGTATATTTTACAGCATTAGTGTAGATTTTTTTTCCTTGAGAAAATTTGGCATGTACTGTATTGAATATTATACGATATTGAATCGAATCGAATTGGTAATCGAATCTAATCGCAAGCTTGTGAATGAGAATCTATCCAGTAGTTGCTGTATTTCGTACCACAGCAAAGTTGCTGTAAAATTAAGTACAGTAGTTTAAGCATACATTGTTCATCTTTTACATTTACATTACATTTCACTTTTATAAACAAGTTTTTTTCAATATAATTACTTGGTAACACTTTACAATAAGGTTCATTAGTTAACATTAGTTTACTACTTTAGTTAACGTGAACTAAGAATGAACAATACTTAGTTAATGTTAATTTCGACATTTGCTAATGCATTATTAAAATCAAAAGTTGTGCTTGTTAACATAGTTAATGCACTCTGAATCAATGTGAACTAACAATGAAAAACTGTATTTTCATTAACGGACATTAACAAACATGTATAAATATTGTAATAAATGTATTATTCGTTGTTTGTTCATAATACATTAACTAATGGAACCTTATTGTAAAGTGTTACCAATTACTTTTTACAAATAATTTTAAGGAGACATAAACCAAATAACGTAAACATATAAAGTATACATATCTGATAATTGAATACAGCTATTATCTATTCGTTTTATAAATATTAAATTGCAAATTAAAGAAAGTATAAATAATATCTAATAATTTAATAAAAATATGATCTAGTTTATTTGATCATTTTTAAGTTATAAAATTTAAGAAACCATAAAAAATAAAATTATAAATGGCAAAATAATAAAATGTTCTCATTGTAATTTGTAAACTGTATCAATAATAACATGTATCAAGTAAGTAATTATTGCATGAATCAATAAACTAAAGAATAACCGAAACTGATGAGTTCTAATCATACTGCCTTTTCTTACAGCATGTAGCATGTTCTGTCCCATTAAATATTATTCAGTGCAGTAAACAGTGAACATTTCCGTGGACAGCTTCAGCCAGGGACAGGACACTAATTTGTGGATGTCTGGTTACTCTAATTAGTTACTAAACAGAGATAAATGATCCTCCGGTGATGTGGGCATGTGTGGCCCTTAGCAACAGGATGTGAAGTTTGAGTCTGAGTAGAAAGGGTACCATATTCCTTTGAAACATGCCGTATAGGTGGAGAAAAACGTGAGCCGCTTATGTGAGGGTGTGTGTGTGTGTGCCATGCATCTGTGTTAGTGGCAGAAAAGAATATCTTCTCATCAGTGCCATAATGGCTTCTGTAGGAATGTGCATGTGTTGGATGCGAGTCTGCAGACACAGAGCATCCCTGAAGGGTACACAAATAGACTGCCTGTTAGCTGTTTGTGCTCCATTTTGATGGAGTCCTAAAATTAAAACTTCATTTTTCATTTCAGGATGCAAGACGGCAGCAAAGCAGCCAAGCATGGTTTTCCTTCCTCTCCATAAATACTTCTCATCTGCATCGTTCCAGCGTTACCCTCTTCACACTGTACAGAGTGACAAATAGTTTGGCTGTTGACTACTTTAAGGTCTGCGGATGAATATCTTTGCGTATTTGATAATAGACTCATATTTGGTCACATCATCAGCTGGTTTAGAGCCTTAAGTCAGGATTTATCTGCTGTGATGAACTTCAGCCATTAGTTGGCTGCTGTAAACAATGGCAATCAATGTGAAATCCCCAAATACTGTATGTGTTCACATATTATGTTTTCTCAAAGAGTTCTGTGGCTTGTTGAAATATGTATATCACCATGGTTTGGCAATATTGTTCTCCACTGCTACTGACCAATGATAGTCTCCGTCTGTCTCTGATACAGATGCTTTTAAAGAAACAAAGTGCACTATGGCAGGCTGATTTTAATTGCTTGTAAAGGGGCCAGACATTTCAGACTTGTCATTATTGCTTTAGCCTGATGCCTCCCCAGTGTGGCACATGACAGATCTGGGTTATCTGTAGGCTTTTCAGGTTCATGCATTTTCTGACTTCAACATTCGTTAAATACTTAGATTCTCTTTTAAACGTGTGAAGTTTTCTTTTCCATCTGTGCAAGTCCTTGATTAAACTTGCATCACTTTTCATAAAGAAGTAAATCTTGAAGAAAGAAAAAAAAAACTGCTGGTTGAGGATTGGTAACAATAACTTTTATTTGGTGCTGCGTTGTGTCTGGTATTCAGTCTCTTTTTTTATTTTAATGTTGATGTTTTTGCAGGAATTGATCGAGAGAACATTGCAGAAATGTTGTGAGTCCACATAAGCAAATGGCATTTGACATATTAAGCCTTAGTTAGTCTCTTTTCTGACAAGCTAATGATTGTTATGGAAGCCCGTTTTTGGGATAATTTTTTTTAAATATATTTTTAATGGTAATTGTGTCTTTTTCTTTCACAATTCGGACTTTTCGCTTGCAATTGAGTTTATATCTAAAATTCTGACCTTTTTTTCAGAATTGTGATATAAACTCAGAATTGTGAGATAAACATCGTAATTACTTTTTAAAATTTATATTATTTATTTTGTGGCAGAAACCAAAAGTCAGAATTGCAAGAAAAAAAAGAGATGTTAAAAAATATATAAAAGATAAAAAAGCTAGACTTGTGAGATATATTCATTCAGATTTCAGTGGGAAAAACAATCTGAGAATTCAGAATTTTGAGGTTATCTTGCATTTTCAGCTTTTTCTCTGAGTATTGTATACATCTTGTGGCTATATATGTATATATATGTATCGATCTTTGAAGGGAGATATCAAAATGAATGTGTATTTTATGCCGTTAAGGCAGCCTATTGAGCTTAACTTGTGTTAAACTTGAAATGTTCATTTAATGATCAGTTTTGCGAGAAAAAAACAACCTATTTGTCCAGCTGTAAAGAAGGGTGTAGAAGGTGTACCGATCCATCTAAGTGAATTAGACTCCTCTAATTCTGTGTGGTGTCTTGATGGACCGTGGCCTGCTGTGATCCGAGCACAGACACACACACACACACACACACACACACACAGCCACACTCATCATTCACACACGCACACACAAACTCGCTCACACACACACTCACTCACTCACTCACTCACTCACTCACACACACACACAAACTCGCTCACACACACACTCACTCACTCACTCACACACGCACACACACACAAACTCGCTCACACACTCACTCACTCACACACACACACGCACACACAAACTCACACACACTCATCATGGTCAGTCAAGAGGATCAAGGCAGAGCGACACCACAGATGGTTTAGTGCGTCAGGCTTGACTGCTTTTATGGTGTCAAGCACACACAGGGAAAGAATGGCACAAACAGCATTAATATACTGGTGCTGCACAAATGATCAAAATAAATCGGAATTTGTGATATGGCAAAGTGCGATTCATTAAACTGCGGAAGAATGATTCATTTCAATAAATGTAATGTAAAATGAATAAATTAAGACATAAATATACATTACTATTTTAATATAAAATTGAAAAAGTATATTAAGAATACAATAATGTTAATAATGATAACAAAAAGTAATAATAATAAACATTTCAAATACAATATTATTGGTAATATTAATTGTAATAATATTATTAATCATTAATTATTAATTATTGTTAATAATTATAAACATTTAAAATGAATTATTATTATTATTAATTAATTTTATTTATTTATTTTATATTATTATTACTACTGATATTATCTAAGCATAAAAAGTAACAAAAAAAAAATATCATATTGCAGTTAAGATCACAATATTTAGCAAACAAATTGCAATATATATATATATATATATATATAATGCACCTCCATTGCCTCGTTTTGCCATTAGTCTCTGGCCATGTGCTCGTCTGCACTTGCCAACAGGTTGCAATTAAAAGCCTTGTCACAGGTCTGCAGGCTCCTCAATCATGCTGGTGGTTCTGGCTGCCTTGCTCTCTAGTGTCTGGCTCCAGCGCATCCATCTGAACAGAAGGTGTGTGACAGCATCTCGAGCTGAAATCTGCTAGGCCACAGAGTTCGTTGTGTGTTAAAGCCTCTTGGAAATGAAACTGCGAGCCATAAGGAGTGGAAGTGATTTGTTGGTGTGATGAAGTGTGTTTGAGAGACAGGCTATTTCAAATATTGGCCTGCTGTAAAATAATCATCATTACACAACAGTTGACGCCGGTCCGTGCATTTGATTGGCTCTACGAGAGTGTAACGACTTTCTGAAGAGGAATGATCTAAACAGGGTTTATGCTTTGACATCATTTTCTCTCAAATGTTGACAAAGCAACAGGACAAAAAAGAAACATTTCTATTGAATCACACCACCATTTCATTTCATACGTATTCACACGGGTCCATTCGTTCCTTCCGCACACGATTATATAAGTAGCTTTTGATTATTAGAACCATTTCCCATTCAAACAAGTCAACATTTTCATTATTCAGATGCCAGACTCATGCATTATTTAAAGCGAAAAATCTGTATAAACAAGCAGATTTCATTTTGTCCCCAATTTCGTCGGTCAACCGACGTGACGTCGGGAGTGACCGACTGAAAGGGAACTTTCTCCCATCCTTCGCTTTTGAGATGCGTGGTCTCAAGCGTAAGTTCATAAGAGGTAATTTTTCCCCAAACGCATGATCTCTAAACATCCTCATGGGGTTCACATAGAGGCCTTTCTCTAAACCCCTCCGCAGAACTTGCAATACGTGTAGAATTTGCCATCTCACTATTTCTGAAGAAAAGCCTCATTATTTTATGAGGTTGGTGCAGCATACTGTCGGCATAATCCTACTTATCACATGAAACAAGTAATCTGAAGAAAGGGTTTTGTCTTAGAAGGATTGCTATGTGATTAGTGATTGGAATTATAAGTTGTTAAATGATTCCAGCTACTATTCTGATTACTTAAAAGGGATAGTTCATCCAAAAATTAACATTCTGTCATCATTTAATTATGTCGTTCCAAACCTGTATGAGTTTATTTTTTTCTGTTGAACACAAAAGAAGATATGTTGAAGAATGTTTGTAAACAAATAGTTGATGGTAGCCATTGACTTCCATAGTACGAAAAAAAAATACTATGGAAGTCAATGGGGCAAACTTTGATGAGTATATGAATCAGAAAATGTTTGGTGAATATTTGAAGAACCACTATACATGACTCAGTGATTCATTGGATTGTTTCGGACTGATAACGTAGGTGTTTGAGACTGTTTTGTGGATCTTGACAGAATTGACTGAATCATTAAAAAGAACCGGCTTTTCATACTGAACCTACAGTATGTTCATAGTTGCATATGTCATGATATTATTTTGTTGTGGCGCTATAGATTTATGTGAAAAGCAGGGATGCACAATAATTAAAACGTTGACAATCGCACACTGGACGCGTCAGTCTGTACTTGCATTCTCAGATTAAATGCGGCAATCCAAAACAGTGAATATAGTCACCATTCAGGCAAAAGTTTGCTTCAAGAATGACCACACTGCTGACGTGATCTTATCGATAGCACACCCTCAGCACATGTGAGTTACCCGCTTATCGGCTCGGCATAGTTTTCATATTGGGCCGATGCTGATGTTTACATTTTAAGCCTTTATCGGCCATTTCCGATAACGTTCCGATAATATTGTGCATCACTATTGAAAAGCATTAAGGATTTACAATATAGCAGTACCATATTGGTTATCAGTTGATATTAGAGGTTTTTATTATTACGTAGTGTTGAGTGGTTAGTTGTGTATTCCCCTATTTTTACATGTAGATTACCTAGACCTTTAGATTACATTTAATAATTTAATAACACTGTTAAATGTATATTTAACAAATCTTAAAATGAATATAAATTTTTCATTCTGTACTGTACATTATTATGTTGAGATGCTCACTTGAAGCATTTAAAACAATTGATTTTTTTTTACAAAATAGTATACAATTTTATTAATGTAATACTTTTATCTGGCAAGTATGCATTAAATTGATCAAAAGTGACTGTAAAGATGTTTACATTGCTACAGAATTTCCACAAAAATATTAACAAGCACACCTGTTTTCAACATTGATAATATGTTTCTGGGGCAGCAAATCAGCACATTAGAATGATTTCTGAAGGATCATGTGACACTGAAGATTGGAGTAATGGCTGATGGAAATTTTGCTTTACCTTCATAGGAATAAATTACATTTTAAAATATATTAAAATAGAAAAACTTTATTAAATTGTAAAAATATTTCTTAGTATTATAGTTTGTTGTGTTTATATTTGATCAAATAAATGCAGCCTTGATGTAAGCATAAGAGACATCTAGCCTAATTCTCACTTAATTTATTTTGACAAAAGAGTATACAATTTTAAAGGGGACATGTCAATTTTGCCAATTTTCCATAAGTTGGTATGATTCTTTAGGGTCTTCATGAATTGTCTATAACATACTTTGGTTAAAATTCCTCAATGATCATTTAAAACAACACCCTGTTTACCTTGTCAATTAACAGCTCTATTCAGCGACCCGTTTCGGTGCATGTCTCTTTAAATGCTAATGAGCTCTGCTTACCCCGCGCCTCTCTTCCATGGAAGAGGAAAGGCGATTTGCAAATAATCATAAAAAATATAAAATGTGAGATTTACTTCTTCTGGAGGTGCAGCTGGATCACGAACAGTGGGTACTGATCCATCCTTGAGTTTGAACTTTTTGGCAAAATCTGCCTTGAATTGTCCCATGTTCAGAAAGCAGTCTGGAGTAAAATGATTTGCACAGACATAAACGAATTTAGGTGTCTTCGGTGGCACATTACCATCAAAAACAAAACTAATCCACTGCGTCCTCAGTGGCTCTGATGTCAGGAGAAAATGAAGACATGTTCACTTTTACATCCAACTAAACACCTGCATTGCTTATGAGACATTGTTGTCACTACAGCTGCTCGAGCGCAGAGAAAATGTCAGACAGCGTACAACTGGCTGAGGGCAGAAATATGCTAATACTGGACAGTCCATTAGTGGTCGTGGGCGGGGCTTGAGCAATATGTCATATTTTCTTTTCATATTTCTTTTATCATTGTAGGGTGGTTGTGTACACATTTAAATGCAAACACCATGTAGAAGTGAATTTTGTATCCGATGTCCCATTTAATATCTGTCATTTATTAATTACTGGCCACTACATGAAAACAATTAATAATTTTAAATATCAGTGGCATCACAATAAAGAATATTTTAGTACAGTATCACATCAGAAGATGAACAATTAATGGAACAGTTACCAGAACCGAACATCATGAAAATTAGTTTTTTCTGTTTTTCTGTTATGAAAAGTGGAGAACAACAAAAACCAACTCTCAATTCCCACAATTCACATATGATCTTTTATTCACTTGCTCCTAGATTCACTGCACACATGAAAAAGGTCTTCTTCACGGCCTCAGTGTATCTTTGTGTATTTTAAAGCATAAATAAATGTTCTCATGCATAATCAAACGGGACACTCCTGCTACATCGTCTTCTGTGACCATGCAGGTTATTCTGCATTCAGAAAATGTATTTAATTTATTTATTTATGAATAAATGTATCTTTATTCAGAAATGGCCCAGACGTCTTCTTTCTGTTTATAGTTTATAGCTCAATGCCCGTGGTCCTTGAACAAGGACACTTGCTGTAAATATCTCCCATCACTCCAATGTCACCCCAGTCGTTTCCACTTTTTTAGGTATACAGTATATTCCCAATGCCTGCTGTTCAATGCAGCCGTAGGATAGACTGACTGAATAAATGGCCATGATTGTTTGATGATGGGTGACAGCGGTGGGCAGCAAAATAGTTTTCCGTAGGAGTAGGACGTTTTGCTGGTAAACACACAGAGTTTTTTCCATGACGCCTAGTGCAACGATGTACTGCTGATAGACTTTTTTCGATGCAGGAAACCCTCTAACAGTTTGTCAGGCTGCTGCAGCAGAGGATCATGGGTCACAGCATGCTATGCCTGAAGGCGTCTATACAGTAAATGGGCAGTCAACCGGAGCAGAGCTGATTTTAGCCAACCTCATCCCTATTCTCTCTCTTTCTCTCTTTTTTCCCCCATCCTCTGTCCCAGCCAGGCACCGGCAGCATCGATCACAGTCCAGGAAATCCAATATTCTGCACCAGTCTCATTCCCACCATGTGCCTGTACTACGTCATTTGTATTCATTCTCAGTATAAATAGGAAATCTTTATAATAATGATGGTCTAAAGGGTGGGAAGCGTTATCCCGGTTAACCTTTGATCCGAGATCTGGGAGAGCGGGAAAATACATCTGCATTCTTGTGAAGTGGCACCCTCAGTTCACCCCAGCCTGCTGTAGTTTCCTGCCAGCGATGTTGGGTTGTTATGAGACGAGAGATGTTGGGGCTTCGCAATTATTCTCTTACATCTCAATTCTACTATATCAGGCAGAGAGAAAAAAGCATTAAAGCTTGAATCACAGACTATGCATCATACAGTATTTACACTGTAAAAGTGAACTTAGAAAATGAAGGTAATTGTTTGCATGGCTTTTGAGTTTAAATGGCTTGACAAAACTTAATATGGGAAGTTGATATTACTTATTATATCTGCCTTTTTTTTTATATAAGAGTCTATGCAAATTGTTCCCTTTATTTGCATGTTTGTATAGGTTTGTTTTCTATGAGAAAATGTCATGGGGATTGAAGTGTTCAAATATATTAACAATATCACATGAATACTCATGAGGCAATAAATACCTTAAAATGACACACACAGACCTCAACACATCTGAAAGATAATTTTAATATAAGAACAAACTCTTGATGTCACAAGACCAGTTGCTAAATGTTAACATCATGAACAACAATGAAAATAAAACTAGCAACCATAGAAATGCAACAATATAAATTATTTATGCCCCATTGCATGCTGTGAAGAGTGTAGATGAGACTAAACACAAAACTAGCAGACTTATTTAACCCTTTCGCACGTGAGTTTAAAATATTCTAGCTGAGCCCCCAGCGTGAGTTCTTTTTAGGCGACCGTTATTTTAAAATGTATCGCCTTAC